GCTCAAATCGCAAACATCTAAGGGGCTCTGCCGCTGCACCCTTCACCCAGAGACATTAAGTTGACTAGTCCCATGTGTCTGTAATTTTATCAGCACCTTTACCCTTCAAAACCGGAACACAATAATGCTGACATTACTGCTTGGCGGCAGAAATAGGTAAGGTGGCAATACTTCCCTCGACGAGGAGCTCTTCTGCTACTTTAAATATATAATAGTAATTTATTGAGAGGAGATTAATTTATACGAGGTTTAAAACTGTAGTGAAACAAAACTTAATTCTAAATGTTATTTATACAGCTTCTGCGTACTTGGATGACAAAATAACGTGATAGAGACCCGTTTATTATATGTAATATTCTCATATAATTGTGATATTCTCGGTCTAAGATGTTTGAAATAAATATTGTAAATGATAAATATAACATGTATTTAGAAAGAACAACCCTTAGAGTTCCTTGTTCATTCTTCTCAGGGGAATCTGCCTTGCGAATGAGCAGTAGAGTTTAATTTATGGCGATTTCAAGTATTACCTATGACATAAAGACGATATGACTTTGAGTGACAATTTGTCATACAGTACAGTACAAATTCTATGGAAGTTAACATTGATAAGACAGGTTGTCATACAAATAAGTATGGATATATCAAAACTGGAATACCAAGAAAACTTAACTACCAATGGGCGTTACACCGAGCATCAAATAAATGAGCTGTTAACAAGCGTGGTTAACAGGAACCAGTGTGAAAGTAAACAAAATATACCTCGATACGTTGCGTTGGATGCAGGGCTCACAGAGTGCATTTTGTGTACTACAGTACTTTTTCGATGTGATGAGTGATGTTAGCAGTAACCATAGGTATATGAATAAATGCAGTAACTTATGGTATACGAGTGAATATAGAGTGTTTTTTTGAATGGCACAGTATGGGGAAATCCGAAACCATAGAAGATACATGGGAACTATCTTATAAACCATAAAGATTATTTCTGAATTCAATTTTTTCGTCAAGCGTGAGTTGTTCATAAAAATGAATGAAATTGATCAAAATTTGTTTAGTACGGATCGACTCCCTTTTATGAATTAATCATTGTATGGGACGAAAAGAATCGAGACAGCAGAAGTTGGTCAAATTTCATAAAATGTTTTTCCTACAAAATTAATAAAATTGACAATGGTTATTTGTTATGCTAGGCTGCAAAGTTGTTGTTTGACACGAGTGATTGTATTGAAATCTAAGCAGGCGAAGGATTCCAAGATTGTTATTGTTCCAAAATGTTATATTATAAATTTTGTATGAAATTTTTTTTATTATTAAATTTGACCAACTTGTACTGTCCCAATTTTTTCTTCCAGTACAATGAAGTCATCCTTATAAGAAACTCTGTCTAAGCATTTATAAAAAAATAGTGAACTTTATTCATTTTGTATGAAAAAATATTTTATGAAATTTAATTAACTTCTGTGGTCCCGATTTTTCATCACATATGTATAATGAAATTATCCCTTCATGAAACTGATTCGATCAACACTAAAAAAATTTATTGATTTCATTAATTTTTATGGACAACTCACGCTTGGCGAAAAAATTGGCTGTGTCAAAATTGTTTTCACAAAAAAAAAACAAGACAGTTTTTTTATGTCGTATTAGCTTTTGCTCTCTTACTCTGGGAAATACCCAGCCGGCACTGGGAAGTACCCATATTAGAAAAACACTAAAAACTGACGAGCGACATAAAGCGCGAGATTTTTATGCAAGAATAGTAGTACCTATCTCGCGCTTTATGTCGCGCTCGCGTATATCGCGCACTGTCGTACTAGCTCTACAGGCCAAGATTCATTAACATTATACAGAGAACTCTGCATTTGTTTTTCTAATTTGCTGCACTCGGCTTTCGCAAACCTCTCTGCCTTTCTTCTTTCTCTAAATAAGAGTAACAAGAAAATTTTTACAGAGCTTTACTTAATTCTAAAAATCGATCAATTATGTTGAAAAGTACTGGTCAATCGTAAATTAACACATTCATTGTTTTCGATGATTTGCATTCTCTCCCCCACACGTCAACGTGACATTTATTAAGTATAGCCGTTATTTAAATGTAAAAGTTTACCGTAATTTGTTTTCTATTGCTTTTAACAAAAGCCCCATAATATTATGCCAAAATAATGAATAATGAAAACAAGTTAATTGAGCATTTTGAGGTCTTGGGTTTGTATATTGACTCGGAATTGGTGGGGTGCGTACCCGACTTGCCACTTAACCTTTTTTGCGCTCGCGCAGCGTCTGCGTTGGGGGCGTAAATTGGTTAGAACTGATAATTTTGACATTAAACAGTAGTTAACTGTCGAAGTTTGGCGGGAGCATGTCATTTTATGTCACTTTTTGTGCTCATTTTTGATAGATAACACAGATTTGTTGACTTTCTCATGGTTCTGGTTTTTGTTCACTAAAGTATTATTTATTTAAGAGTTCTTTAATACCAGTCCCTGCCATGGCATTTGAACAAGTAAATTAGAATAATATTTAAATTTCAAATCATGTTAAGGTTTTGTAGATAGGTAAAGCTTTTAGTAAAAATTAAATATCTGTCGAGTTCTTAGGTTTTTGCCATTGTTACACATAGGAAATGAAACTATTTTTAATTTAAAAATAAGGTATTTTAATTAATAACTTTTGTAACTATAGTGAAAAAATAAGGTAGTTTGCATTTAATATTAGACATAACTGGTTGATAACTTTACCACCTCAGTCAACCTTGACCATGGAACCTGTAAAGGGCCCGAAAGGTTGGTTTGTTTGAAAAAAAAACAAATATACGCGATTTAAATCCGGAAAAATAGTTTGATTAAATATCTGGTTCAAACACCTGATTTAAATAATAAAATCTTTTAAAAAATCAGTCGAAATGTACATTTTTAGAAGGTTTATATAATCAGTATAGTTTGTTTAACTTTTCTGGAGTAAAGATATAAAGAATTAATTATATAATTAATTATCAGAGGCTTTCGATACCGAGTGTACTGTAGTTAACACCAAAAGTAGAGTAGTGGAGAATCTTTTTAAGAAATTCCATAACGACACAAAACAAGTGAAACTCAAACATTGCAAGGACAAAATGTAAACCATAATGCAACAAAAGGACAAAAGTGTTGACGAAGGCACTTTGTTTGTTCGAACGGTCTAGTTCATATGAATTCGTCGAGGAGTTGTGGACACAAACAAGTTATGTTGACCCATTTTTTTAGTTGGTCCACACTTCACCCTGACTTCAGACATTAGCACTGAGATACTATAAATAAGTTTAAAGTACGTAATCTTAATGTTTACTTTGTCTGGTGTTTTGGAAACAGTATTCATTAAATTTAAATACCTACCTACATAATCGTGCAGGTCATATGTGATATCGTATTATTTTGCTTTGCTTTGCTTTTAATATAGATACTTAATGGCTAGCTTAATTTATTATTACTACACAGTAATTATTTTCGTATAGCAAAATTCGTCTGATTTGAGAACAATATTCGATGTTTTCGCTCAGATTAATTATTTTGTATGAGCTTTGATAACGTGATACTAATGCATTGCAAACGGCTCGAAATACTCGTTGTGTAGAAGCAAAGTGCATTTTTGATTTGCCTGATTCCGGAGTGGAATTTTTAACCCGACAAAATGTAGTTCGTGGACGACCAGAACTTAAGGTGAATAATGATGAGTTACGAAATTTTGTTGATGCCCCGCCGGTCCGTCGCGAACTATCAATGTGTTAACTGTATCCACGATATTGACCCTTTTGCGCAAAATTTATGAAAAATAAGTTCACCACACAAATTGCCAATGTCCCACGTAACCCACGTTGAAACTTGAACACATAAATCGATACAGAAATGAAGGAATTTTAGACCGTGTCTTTTAGATCTGGAACGAGCATGACAGTTGCTCCAGTGCCGGCTGGTTACGTATGGCAGAGGGTGTGTGGTGCACTGCACAGAGGCGTAGGGCCTTAGGGGGCGCCAAGCGCCGCTCGCGCCGCTCGTGACGCCTCCAAAGAGTCAGACTGCGTCATTCGCGGCGCAAGCGAAGTAAACGGGCTTCTACTTTCCCATCCCCACCTTACGGAGTTACTCTCCAAAGGAACTTTGTGAATTCTCTTTCCCCACTATTCTACCGTAAACGAATAAATGAGCATCCATCTGGATAATAGAAGTATTGACAGCGTCGATTATATTATAACATATTTAGATGAAATAAAGTTATTTTCAATAACACTTTTTTGCTTCAATTCTCCTTAGTGTGACAATTTTACACTTTAACCTCTATTATATATAGATACCTACACATTAATATGTGTAGGTATCTATATA